CTGCCTCAGCCTCAGCCTGCATCAGCCTCAGCCTCAGCCTCAGCCTGCCTCAGCATCAGCCTGCCTCAGCCTCAGCCTCAGCCTGCCTCAGCCTCAGCCTCAGCCTCAGCCTCAGCCTGCCTCAGCCTCGGCCTCAGCCTCAGCCTGCAGCCTCAGCCTGCATCAGCCTCAGCCTCAGCCTCAGCCTGCCTCAGCATCAGCCTGCCTCAGCCTCAGCCTCAGCCTGCCTCAGCCTCAGCCTCAGCCTGCTTCAGCCTCAGCCTCAGTCTGCCTTCAGCCTCGGCCTCAGCCTCAGCCTGCCTCAGCCTCAGCCTGCCTCAGCCTCAGCATCAGCCTCAGCCTCAGCCTCAGCCTGCCTCAGCATCAGCCTGCCTCAGCCTCAGCCTCAGCCTGCCTCAGCCTCAGCCTCAGCATGCTTCAGCCTCAGCCTCAGTCTGCCGTCGGCCCTGGCCTCAGCCTCAGTCTGCCGTCAGCCTCGGCCTCAGCCTCAGCCTGCCTCAGCCTCAGCCTGCCTCAGCCTCAGCCTCAGCCTGCCTCAGCATTCAAAATTTTGCCCGGGAATGGAGTTCTGGGAACTCGAAGAACACGAAGTGGCCTACAGTTGGCCCCGTGCATTCAAAATCATGCCCAGGAATGGAGCTCTGGGAACTCGAAGACCACGAAGTGGCCTACAGTTGGCTCCGGGCATTCAAACTCATGGCCAGGAATGGAATTCTGGGAACTCGAAGACCACGAAGTGGTCAACTGTATGCTCCGGGCATTCAAAATCATGCCCAGGAATGGAGTTCTGGGAACTCGAAGAACACGAAGTGGCCTACAGTTGGCTCCGGGCATTCAAAATCATGCCCAGGAATGGAGTTCTGGGAACTCGAAGACCACGAAGTGCGTTACTGTGGGCTAAAAAACGGAGTCTCTGGATTCCCCCGGATCCCGTCCGGATCGCGCCCAGACCCCCCTGGGGAGTCAAGATGCTATCTTTTGACACCACTAGAAATCTATCAGTCTTCGCTGTTAGGTAATAGGAGCATTGCAGAACAAGCTGGAGCGCGGCAGAACACGCAGCAGCACGGCAGAACACACAGGAGCACAGATCCGTAGCCATTTTGGCTCAAGCCTGGCTCGGGCGCGCGGCGGCGGGCGCTTGGGCATGATGGCGCGGGCGGGGACGCTGGACAGTGTTCCTGGTGCTGCACGCGCTTGCCTCGGCGAGCCGCGGCGGACGCGCGCGGAGCGTTCTGCGGCTCGGAGGCGGGCGCTCGAGGCAGCGGACAAAAGAGTGAAGGCGGCGCTCGCGGACGCAGCGGCCCTGCGCAGCGAGCTGGAGGCCGTTCGGCGGTGCTTCGCGTCCTACGTGGGCGACGCCGAGCTGGCCGACCGCCTGGAGGCGATCGTGCCCGCGCTGACTGCCTTGCTGCGGGGAGTGGCCCCCGAGCAGGAGGATGCAGTGCGGAGGAATGTGGCTCTCCACGCCGACGCCCCTGGGGTCAGGGTTGCGTCGGCTTGTGGCCTCACCCTGCGGCGGCTCCAGCGGTCCGCCAGGCTGGAGGCGAGGCGAGAGCGCAAGATCGAGTGCAACGTGGAGATTTGCGAGGCGGAGGCGCTGCCGCAGCTTGGCCGAGTTGTGGCCCTGCGCACGGCGTTGCGGTCGGCTGCGAGGCTCTTCGCCCCAGCTTGGATTGGCCCCGTTGCCGGCGGCGGCGGTACCCAGGAGATGCAGGCCCAGATCGACGTCGATGAGTGCGACGAGGCGCAGCAGCAGCTTAACATGGAGTTCGAGCTGGCTGGGCGCGCCCGCGTCGGGCGTGGCGCCCGCATCGGCGATTGCTGCGTGCCTTCCCCTCTCTTCCCTGGGGTGTCGGAGGTTGACTGCGAGGTGGACTTCGTGCAGGCCGCGGGCGCTCTGGCGGCGCCGCCGCGCGCTGCTGGCGAGTGCTCCGACTCCGACGGCGTCATCCTCGACGGCGAGGCCGACGTGGCCATTTCTTGCTCGGTTGGGGAGCAGCCAGCTGCCGAACCTGCTGGACGCGTTGTTGCCGCCGCCGCGTACCTCGACGCCTTCCCGCAGGCCCTCTTCCGTGGGGGTGGCGGCGCCAGGGCTCGAGGCGAGGTCGCGGCTCGTGTTTGGTGGCGTGCGAGAGCGGCCGTCGCCCGCGCTTGGCTCACAGCTGATTCAGCGACGGCGCAGGCGCCCTCGGATGAAGGAGCGAGCGTTGGAGGTACTGCAGGCGGGACGCCGCTGCCTCCAGGCTTGGAATCGAGGAGTGGCTGGAGCAGCGTAGTTGGTGCTCCTCGTGTGACGTCTTTCCCCTGCGTGTTCGGAATGCCTTCTGAGTGATGATTCGCCTTGCACGTCTGTTCCCCATTGGAGGTGGGGGGGGGGCTGTGGTTGTTCAGTGGGTTATGTCTCCTGCGTTTGAATGTGCGCATGGTGTATTCGCAATGCAGTCGAGATTGGGTTGTGATCCTGCGTAGCTTCTGTTCTCGCAGTGCTTGCATGATTGGCTTGGGCGGGCTGGGGACTAGAGCCAGTGGCTTTGCCGTCCGCCTTCCCTGGCCCGTGTCGAGAGGCGGCCCTAGGTGGCCCCTCTTGGGAGGGCGTGCCTCTGGATCCGGCTTCTTTCGGGAACGCGGGTCCCGTCTGGCCCTGTCTGTGTTTCTGGCCACCACATGCCTTGAAGGCCCCGTCTTTAACTTTAACTTTAACACGCAGGAGCACGGCAGAACACACAGGAGCGCGGCAGATCACGCAAAACACATAGGAGCATGGCATAACAAGCAGCAGCACGGCGGAACACACAGGAGCACGGCAGAACACACAGTGGCACGGCAGAACACACAGGAGCATGGTAGAGCAGGACCATGGCATAATACACAGGAGCGGCAGAACACACAGGTCAACGGCAGAACACGGCATAACACAACATTGCCGCAGACTACCACGCACGGACACATGCACGTCTTCCAGGCACGCGCGCGCACAAACGCACGCACGCCACGACGTACCTGCGTGGCAGATCATCGAAAGAGAATGCTGGACATACCCAGTGGACAAAAGCGATTCTTTTCCGGCCAGGTTTCGGCGGCTGGCATTTTCAGTGCTCGCCGTGCACGCATAAGGGAAACGGGGGAGAACCCGCGTGTACTCATGGAAACCACGCGGACGGCGGACGGGGTCTCGTGGGAGGCGTTTCGGCTGCGTTTTGGAAGCGGTTTTGAAACCTTTGGGGGGGCCTCCTGGGGGTCTATGAAGAGCTTTTTGGGGACCTCGCGGGGCTCTTTGGGAGCCTGTCGGCGGTTTCTTGGGACAACCGTGCAGCAGTTCGGGTTAGAAGGCTCGAGATGCCCTTGTGGGCTCCCCCGCTGGACCCCCTCTTGGGGCCGTCGCGGGGCCATCCTGACCCGTCGTCGGGTTTGTGTTAAGCGGTCTTGGGGCCCCGTTGGGTCTTCTGAGAGTCATGTTGGAGGCCTCTTTGGCCATTTTGAGGCGACCCAGGAGGCTGAAGGAGAGGCAATTGTGCTAAACACGCATGGGTTCCCATGGAAGTGGCGCGATTGTTGTTTTTGGAGGCCGTCTTGGGGCGCCTCTTGAGGGCTTTTTGGTGCGTATTGGGGTCTCATGAGCCGCCTGGACGGCAGCGTGGGCGTTTTCGATGGATCTCTTGGTGGGTCCCTCTTGGACCGTCCAGAGGGCCTCTTGGTGCCCTCCTGGCTGATTATAGGGCCCTTCGCTTCCCCGTTTGGGTCCTCTGAGATCTCTCCGGGAGGCCTCTTGGGCCGTCTTTGGGCGACCCAGGAGGCTTCTTGGGCTGTATTTGATGTTGTGATCGCGGTAGAGGCGACTGTGTTACAACTGCCGGTATTCCCATGGCAATGGGACGGTACGCGCTCTTGGAGGCCGTCTTGGCACGCCTCTTGAGGCCTCTTGGTGCATCTTGGGGGCTTCTTGAGCCGTCTGGACGGCAGCGTGGGCGTTTTCGATGGATCTTTCGGCGGCTCGTGGCCCCCTTGGACCGTCCAGAGGGCCTCTTGGTGCCCTCTTGGCTGATTTTAGGGCCCTTCGCTTCCCCGTTTGGGTCGTCTGAGAGCCCTCCGGGAGGCCTCTTGGGCCGTCTTTTGGCGACCCAGGAGGCTTCTTGGGCTGTGTTTGATGTTGTGACCACGGTAGAGGCGATTGTGTTACAAACGCAGGTCTTCCCATGGCAATTCGGCGGTACGTGCTCTTGGAGGCCGTCTTGGCACGCCTCTTGAGGCCTCTAGGTGCGTCTTGGGGGCCTCTTGAGCCGTCTGGGCGGGGCGTTTACGATTGATCTTTCGGCAGCTCGTGGCCCTCCTTGGACCGTCCAGAGGGCCTCTTGGTGCCCCCTTGGCCTGTTTTAGGGCGCTCTTGCCCAAATGCCCCCAAGATCCACCCAAGAGGAGGAGGAGGAGGACGAGGAGGAGGAGGAGGAGGCGGAGGAGGAGCAGGAGAATAATGACGAGGAGGAGGATGAGGAGGAGGAAGATCAGGAGCGGGAGGAGGAGGAGGATGAGGAGGAGGAGGACAGGAGGAGGACAGGAGGAGGAGGCGGAGGAGGAGGAGTAGGCGGAGGAGGAGGAGCCTATGCTGTCCCAGGATCTGCACACGGCCCCGTCCGTAGCCATTTTTGGCTTCGTCGTTGGGGCTCTGGTGCTGAGCCCGAAAGACCAGCGCAACCTTTGCGGCTCGCGCCTCGTCAGAGGAGGAAGAGGTACCAATACCGCTACCTTTCGCACGTTTCCCCCTCTTCGGGCCTTCTCGGAGGCCCTCGTCGCCACCGCTGGATTCGCCTTGAAATCCTGGCCAGAACGCCCCCCGGGAGAGGTCCCGGGAGTGGCGGTATCGGTACCTTTTGGTTTCCCCACATCGGTTGCGCGTGTTCTGACTTGGCGGTCGGCATCGCCTTCGTTGGAAAAGCTTGTGAACGGTGATGAGATTGGTGCTATTATGCTTGTGCTTCTCTAGCTTTTCTGAGTTTGGACCCGCCCGTGCGTCCTCCGAGGCGGGCGTCACTTGCAACACGCAGTGGTGCCAGGATTATTCCAAGGATTGCTTAGCTGGTACGGAATCGCAGCCGTGCTCATGCGAGAAGGGCGTTTGGCGCGTTATTGACAGACCTACGCATGTATCAGTTTTTGCACCACGGTTTTACCGCTACACATGTTGCACGGAACACGACCCATACAACACAAGCAGACGTACCCGTTTCACGTTTGATAGAGATATGTGTGGAGATTACAGCAGCACGCATATGTTTGGCGCTTGCATTATGACTGCAATCGCATTCGCCGCGGGAACATTATTCTGGGCAGGATGTCGAGTTTGCCATGAGAATGTCGCCAGGCCGGTCAAGAGAATAGCGCAGGATGAGAACGTGGAGAGACCGACCAGCGTGCTAGATGGAGACAGATTGCATGACAGCATCCCTCCACATCGGTGGTGCGTTACACGGGCGGACCTGCAGCAGTTCAGGAGATTGGTGCAGCGGGCAGTTTTGGATGGACGCATCCAGCCCACGGAAGCAGACCTGTTCGATCCGAGAGATGACGTGATAGGACCATGCGTTTACACCGTCACCGATCAATACATCAAACCCGTCACTGCCAGCGCAGGGAATCCGAGCTGGGCACTGATGCTTCACCCAGATGGCCTCGCGTGTGACCTTTTCATTACGCATAGCTGGAAAGAAGGGATATATGAGCTTATCGACAAAGTCATCTACTCGTGGCCTGCTGGGAAACGAAATGCGTATATATGTTTCCTGTCTAACCCACAGAACCTTGATATTGCGCATCTCGTATCGAGCCCGCGAGAATCTCCGTTTGCCCACGCATTACGCTCGGCAACGGACATGATGGTTGTGTCCAACCGCAGAGAAAGTATATATAGCAGGGTCTGGTGCACTTACGAGGCCCACTTGGCATACACCTTGGACAAGCGAATCTTCTGCGCGACAAGTCCAGTTCATAATTCAAGTGGCTCACGCCAGTCCGCCGACTTCCCAGGTTGGGCCTCTTGGAGGCCTCTCGGGGGCATCTGGGTGTTTTTTGGGGGGGAGCTTTTGGGGAGCCTCGTGGGGGCCTCTTGGGGCCTCTGGGGAGCGCCTCGGGGGCCTCTAGGAATCTTTCGGAGCCATCTTGGGGGGAACGGCTCGACATGCCATTCCGTATTCTCACTCTTTGGCCCTTCTTGAGGCCTCCGTGGCGGTCTTTTGGGTCGTTTCGTGAGCCCCTGGAGCCGTCTTGGGGCCGTCTCAGGACAATATTCTGGGCCCCTTGAGCCGTCTTGGACGCTGTCAAGGCGAGCATGGCGAGTACAGTCGGGGCCCTGAAGAAGGAACCCTTTCCGTTGGGAAGGGGCTTCGTGTTCCTTACTTGTTTCGCAGCTTGCCTCAGGTTTTCCTTATGTTTTCGATCGGAAATCGAAGTTCAACTTGTGGAAAATAGGGGCCTCGTTCCTTATTTAGGGTTCCTTGGGTCAACGCCTCGACTGTATGCGAAAGTTGGAATTTGTCGGAGGGGGATGGGACGATGACTGCCTCTCGCGGCAGCATCTGTAGGCCCTCTTCGAGACAGGCCATCTTGGACCGTCGCGGGGCTGCCCAGAGCCGGCTCGACGCTCGCTCGGATTATCTGAGCACTCTGTTCGGGCCGCCTCGGCAGGCCAGCCACAGCTGGGGGAGCTGTGGTCCTTTTACCCCCCTGGGGGACCCATCGATTCCGACACCCCTCTCGAGAGATCGTCGACGGGACTCCTCCTCCTCCTCGGAGGAGGAGGAGGAGGAGGAGGAGGCGGAGGAGGACGAGGAGGAGGAGGAGGAGGAGGAGCGTCGGGGGCTCCAAAGCCCCCGGAGAAGCGTCGGCGAGAGTGCAGGGGCTCCCAGGGCGGCGCCCCCCCCCCCCTCCCCCCCGAGCGGGATTTTTGACCCCAGGGGAGAGGGACAGCAAGGGAGCGTGTTTGGATTCCCTGTCGTGCCGATCTCCTCCTCCTCCTCCTCCTCCTCCTCCTCCCCCTCCTCCTCCTCCTCCTCCTCCTCCTCCTCTTCCTCCTCCTCCTCCTCCTCCTCCTCCTCCTCCTCCTCCTCCTCCTCCGGCGCGGGCCCTCGCATCTCCCCCCCTTGGAGCGGATCTCCGTTGTTTTTTGGCGGCTGTTTCGAGCCGGTGGTGCTCCTGCACATCCGCTTCGGCACCGCCTGCACCCCAGGGCCCCGCCCACTCCTGCCGCCTGAGGCCCCGCCTTCCTGTGCCCTGTCTCCCTAATTAAGGCTGTGCGTAGCCCGCCTAGCTTTTAGCGGAAGAGGTTCGCTCTCGCCCCGCAGATCAAAACAATTGTTTCGAGCCGGTGGAGGCTCCCCCGTAATGGACGCCATGTTGCAAACAGTCGCATTGAGCAGAGGTCCGGAGCCAGACCCCCTCCCTCCTTCCGCCCAATGTCGAAACGCCGAGTAAGAAAACGGTCACCAACACGTCTCACACGCCTTGCCACCCCCAGCAAGCGGGGTGCGGCAGACTTCTGGCATCGCGTCTCATCCCAACTCGGTGTATGCCTTGTTGGGCTCAGCGTTGGCGCTGCGTGCTCCCTTCTTCTTACTTTCATCGCCTTGGAGCACTTCGCGTTACTTGTGAGGAACCTATTGATTTTGGTATTGTGTTGTACCATGATGAACTGGAAATTCCACATGAAAATCCCATGGGGCACTGCTTGCCGCCGTTCTAGTTGCGCGGCGGTCCTCGTTGCTGGTGTCGGCGTGGGCTTCGTATGGCAGGTGGACATGACGTACGCAATGAATTGGGTTGGTTCCCTGATGTTTTTGGCTTTCGGCATCTGCGTGGAAGCTGACCGTTTATGGGCGGTCGTTGCCGTTCGAGAGAAAGTGAATTTGTCGTTGGGCTACACGGGCCATATTCGTGACGCGCGGTGTTCTGTGCATGCAGACGGCGAACTGATTCGCGGGGAGCTACAGGAGGAAACCCAAGAGGTCGCTGTAGACCAAAGCGTGGAATGTCTGATTTGCACGGGTCTCTCCACCAGGCTCTTGCGCGACACGGCGCAGCGAGTCGGCAAACTAGGTAATGTTACCAATTGGAATACGGCTTCGGTAGTCTCGCATGTCGGTGGGATTTGGGTGTGGCTTCCTGCTCATTCGACTGGGAGCGACGTCTGCACTATGGATCACGGCATCTCGGCCTTCATCTGCATCCTTCAAGGATTGACTTGGTCAGTTTTGTTTGCTTTCGTGTTGAGCAATGACCGGAAGGCATTCGCAGCGACGTCTGTCGTCACCCTTCTCGTCTGCTTACCCCTCAGGGCTGTCAGCATGTGCGCCTTCGCGTTCTCCATTGCTCTGGTCATGGGGCCCACTGTGCTGGTTCTCACGCTGGCAGGGCCTGCCAATGTCGCTCGCGTGCCTCTTGTAGGCCCCGCACTTGTTCGATTATTCATAGGCGATTGGACCATTCGCAACCCTTGCGCACGCCGTTCCGAACGAGAGCGCCGCCGATTCTCCAAGGAGCTCCGGGACAGTCAGCACACCCTTGCCTCCATATACGGCAAGCTCGAGGAAGACCTGACCCGAGACCCGCGCCCGAGCTTGACCAGCACGCCTTCCGACCTCGAGGGAACCTGGTCCACAACTCGCATGGGCCTAACAAGCTCGGGTTCCACTTGCGGAGGCGACTCGGCCAAGCACTGCCAGAGCGTTTCGGGAACGCTCTCAAGCAGCCAATGTTTCCAGGCCGTCTGACCTTTCGAGGCATGGCCTCTATACCTCCATGAATGCATTCTTAGGCAAACAGCACATCGGCGAGATGTCAGCTTCGGCGGCGCTTGCGTGTATACACATGTGGAGATACATGCGCGTGCCGTTCAGTATTCTCATTGTATTGTTACGGCTGTCGGTTTCCCAGTTGCTTCCGCGTTCGAGATAGTCTGGGTTCTTCTTAACTATGTCCACGTGTTGAAGATCATTGTTTAGCGTTCTAGGCCCCAGCAAGTAAATCAGGCGCTAAAACACGATTCACGGATTCTGCTTTTTGGCTACGTGTTTTTTTGCCTGTCCGGATCAGGTGGTTGCATTGTTTACATTGCCGTCTACGATGTCTTTAGTTCCTTCTCCTTTTGCGTGCAGGCCTCCTTGTACCGTAGCACCCCGCAATTGCGGATAAGAGTGAGGGGGCGGGCGCGGGCGACGCGGGCGTCGTCGAGCCGGCGGACCTCGTGGCCCACACCTTCCTTGTCGATGGCGCTCTCCTCCACCTCCTCCTCCTTCTCCTCCTCTTCCTCCTCCTTTTCCTCCTCCTCTTCCTCGTCCTCATCGTCATCGTCCTCCTCCTCCTCCACCTCGTCCTCCTCCTCCTCTTCTTCCTCGTCCTCCCTCTCCCCCCCTCGTCTTTTCATCATGGTCCTCCCATTGCCGTCCTCCCCCTCATCGGCCTCCATCATCGTCCTCCCATTGTCGTCCATCATCATCATCATCCCCATCCTCCCCCTCCTCGTCCTCCTCCTCCCCCTCCTCCTCCTCCTCCCCCTCGTCTTTCTGCTCCTCCTCCTTTTCTTTCTCCACGTTCTCCTTACATCCTCTCTTCTTCCACGTTCTCCTCGTCCCCTGTTTACTCATCCTGCCTCCCCCTCCTTTCCCAAGATAACTGCAATGCAATCCTTTTTTCCACTTTATGCTCCCCACCTTCTCTGATCAAGGCAACTCGCCAGGGCAAAGTTGCTGGACGGGCTGGCGTGGATGCGCGGGGCGTGAAGAGGTCCTTGCGGGCTCAGACGGCATGCAAGAATCCGCCGCCGCGTTTGTGCGGCATTGGTTTGTTCAGTGAACGTGATTTAGGTCGCGGGTGGGTCGCGGGCTCTCCACCTCCACCTGGAAGGAATGCAAAAGCAGCCCGCCGCAAGCGCCAAACAAAAATGTTTGTACACGGAACGAGGTTTGGGTCGCGGGTGGGCCGCGTGTTCTCCACAGGGAACGAATGCAAAATATGCCCGCCGCAGACGCCGAAAATGTGGTTTGTACCCTGAACGTGGGTGGTCGCGGGTGGGCCGCGGGCTCTCCACCTGAAACGAATGCAAAATATGCCCGCCGCAGGCGCCGAAAAATGTGGTTTGTACCCTGAACGTGGTTTGGGTCGCGGGTTGGTCGCGAGTTGGTCACGGGATGTGTCGCGGGCCCTCCACCTGGAAGGAATGCAAAAAGCCCGCCGCAGGCGCCGAAAATTGTGGTTTGTACCTTGAACGTGGTTTGGGTCGAAGGTGGGTCGCGGGTGGGTCGCGGGGTAGGTCGCGGGTGGGTCGCGGGTGGGTCGCGGGGTGGGCCGCGGGGGGGTCGCGGGGTGGGTCGCGGGGTGGGTCGCGGGTTGGGTCGCGGGGTGGGTCGCGGGTGGGTCGCGGGTGGGTCGCGGGGTGGGTCGCGGGGTGGGTCGCGGATGGGTCGCGGGGCGGGTTGCGGGTGGGACGACGACAACAAACAACAACAACAACAACACCAACAACAACAACAAAAACAAACAACAAACAACAAACAACAAACAACAAACAACAACCAACAACCAACAACCACCAAACAAACAAACAAACAAACAACAACAACAACACCAACACCACCAACAACAACAACAACAACCACAACAACAACAACAAACAACAAACAACAACAACAACAACAACAACAACAACAACAAGTACTAGCACGTGGGGACACACCGTTTTCACCAGTGCCAGGGTTTTCATAGGAGGCGGGCAATACCCCCACTTTGTGGGGGGGCCGGTTCAAGCTCTACCAAATTTCCAAACGACTCTTCGCCACCACCCACACCCAGCTTCCCGCCCTATGACGTTCGGACACTTCACTTCGTGGCATGCGGACGACCGTGGCTACTATTCAGGGCCCCGCGGCCGACGACGACGGCGTGCGCGCGCGAAGAAAAAACGAATGTGTCCCGCATGGTATTATTTGACAGGGATGATGGCCCTGGCAGGTGCGCAACCGTTGTTGCAGAAGTTCGAAAAAGTTGCTCGCAAAAGCCCGTTTGACAGAAATGATTAAAAAGTGTTGGGTTTCCTACGAATCCGCAAGAGCGCGCGGGATGAAATTTTGACAATTTTTTTTGAAAAACCATTGGTTTTTTGATGTTTTTATGTTAAAATCGCTACGACAACTAAGGTTTTGGAAGGATTTCGTCTTGCGCGCGCGAGTGTCCACTTTACCTCATTTTTTGCAAGGGATTCTTGAAGTTTGGTTATGTTAGAACAAGAAATGTCCACTTTAGCTTATTTTTTGCAAGGGAAAACCGATCGTAACAACACAACCGGATCCGGACTCCCCCGTTTCGCCTGAGACTTCCTCACGAAAATGATGAACATGAGGCTGCGGCCTAGGCGCGGCGGGGGGGTCGTGCACCAGGGGTCCCAACAATAATTATTCCTAAGAAGAAATAGTGTTCAACAACAACAACAACAACAACAACAACAACAACAATCATTTTACCCGAACGCGTGGTGTTCTCCCCAGTGCCAGGGTTTTCATACGACACCAGGCAATACCCCCACTTCGTGGGGGGGCATTACAAGCTCTACCAAATATCCAAACGACTCTTCGCGACCACCCAAACCCAGCTTCCCGCCCTATGACGTTGGGACACTTCACTTCGTGGCGTGCGGACGACCGTGGCTACTACACTGGCGTGGGGTACACACCCACAGAACTTGGTCACTTATTCGGGGCGCGCATGTGCCCAGCATGGTGCAATTGTGCCATACAATACATAATACAGAGAGACAGAGAGAGAGACAGAGAGCAGACAGAGAGAGAGACAGAGAGAGCGGAGTTGGTCACATTTTTGGGTCAAGTTCCTGGGATGATGGGAATACACAACTCTGTTACATTTGATAGTGTGCACGACACACATGAGATGATACGTACTCGCAAGATAGTTGGTCACATTTGTGGAATTCCTGGGCGGATGTGGGGATACACAAATACCTTTGTTACCAGTGCTAGACATGGTACAGACACTGAGAGAGAGAAGGCGAGACAGAGGAAGAGAGCGGGAGAGAGAGAGAGACAAAGAGAGAGAGACAGAGAGAGAGGAGTTCGTCACATTGTTTCATCAAATTCCTGTGCCGAAGTGGGAATACGCAAAGGCATCAGTTGCATATGACCCGTAGGGTACATGGTACACATGATCATGGTACGTACGCACAAGATGGTTGATCAGTTTTTGGAGATTTCGGCGTGCGCGCGCGAAGAAAAAACGAATGTGTCCCGCATGGTATTATTTGACAGGGATGATGGCCCTGGCAGGTGCGCAACCGTTGTCGCAGAAGTTCGAAAAAGTTGCTCGCAAAAGCCCGTTTGACAGAAATGTTTAAAAAGTGTTGGGTTTCCTACGAATCCGCAAGAGCGCGCGGGATGAGATTTTGACATTTTTTTGTTGAAAAACCATTGGTTTTTTGATGTTTTTATGTTAAAATCGCTCCGAACACTAAGCTTTTGGAAGGATTTCGTCTTGCGCGCGCGAATGTCCACTTTACCTTATTTTTTGCAAGGGATTCTTGAAATTTGATTATATTAGAACAAGAAATGTCATTTTATAATGTTTTTTGCAAGGGAAAACGGATTACAACAAAACAACCGGATCTTGATCACCTCGAATTACCTGAGGCTTCCTCACGAAAATGATGAAAACGTGGCTGCGGCCTAGGCGCGGCGGGGGGGGCGCGCACCAGGGGGCCCAACAACAATTATTCTTTAGAATTAATAATGTTCAACAACGATAATCCGCACCGCGGAATTCCACATCAGCCACGCACCCAGGGACAGTGAATGACCGTTCGGCCCCCTCACTCTGATATTCTGGCATCATTGTCATTGTCCTTTTTGCTCTTCTCCTGCCCTCGCTGCTGGCTGGGGCGTCGGGCCTCTTGGGCCTGATGGCCCATGGCCCTTCCTGGGGCAATCGGGCTTCCGGGCCTGGGTCGAGCTGGTGTTCGTCCTAGGTCGGGCCTGTCCTTCTACAGGTGGAGTATCCAAAAAATAGTCAAACAAATAGTCTGGGGACGACGATTTTTTGACTATCTCTAGGCATTTGGGTTTTTTGTTTGTATGCTTCGCTGTTCGCCCCAAAATCCCCCTGTATGGGGGACACGCCCGACTTCGTGTCAGTCTGGTGTCGGAGCGTTTTTTTTTGTGCGTCGGGATTTCTAGGTAGTTGGGGGGTATTTTTTAGTATTTTTCGATTTTCGCCAAAACATGCCCCTGTAGGGGGGACGCGCCCGACTTGGTGTTAGTCTGGCGTCGGAGCGTGTTTTTTTTTGGTGCGCATGGATTTCTGCTGCAATCCTGGGCGGGAGAGCGCGGCCGCAGAAGCGATGCCGCGGGGGCGGAGGCGGCAGGGCAGACAGGATGGCGCGACCGAGGAGGAGGAGGGGGAGGAGGGAGGAGGAGGGGGAGGAGGGGGAGGAGGAGGAGGAGGAGGAGGAGGAGGAGGAGGAGGAGGAGGAGGAGGAGGAGGCCTAGGCTGCGGCCGCGCGCGGCCTCCTCCTCCACATCGCCAGGCCTAAACACGCAAAGCAGCAAAGCCAACAACGCTCGACCACCATTCGCGTTTTATGAGCGTTTTCGGCTCCTCGAGGGCCTAAACACGCAGAACAGCAAAGCCAAACACGCTCGACCACCATTCGCGTTTTATGAGTGCTTTCGGCTCCTCGAGGGCCTAAACACGCAAAACAGTAAAGCCAAACACGCTCGACCATCATTCGCGTTTTACAGCTGGTGCCCTGAAGAAGGACCCCTTTTGGTTGGGGAGGGGCTCCGCGTTTCTCAAGTGTTTCACGGCTTGCCTCAGGTTTTCCTCATGGTTTTGATCGGAAATCGAAGTTTAGCTTATGGAAAAAAGGGGCCTCGTTCCTTATTTAGGGTTCCTTAGGTCAACGCCCCGACTGTGTGAGCGTTTTCAGCTCCTCGAGGGCCCAAAAGTGCAAAGCAGCACAGAAGAGCGCCGAGGGCGTCTGGAAGAAGAACCACGGCGATCGTAGTATGCCACTGGGGCGAGCACCCGATCTGTCTGCGTGCAGGGGAGCCTCGTCCGGCTCATATCGTCCTGCTCTTGGCATCGCTCGGACGTCTGCATTTTTTCTTCGGCGAGGACCATCGAGGAGCATCCTTGATCATGTCGCGAAAAAACACGCACGAAGCCGAACAAAAACACAGGAAATGGACGTCCGAGCGATGGCCAGAAGAGCATGGCGGAACAGAGTCCTGCCGGGCACGGCGGCGCGGTCCTGGATGGACGTGGGCCGTCCAGACAGCGAGATTTTCTTCCAGGGTTGACCTCCATCTTTCGGTACTCACACTGCTGTATGGGTGGGTCCTTCGCCCAGAGAACTTGTCCGTAAGGGCTTCGCCCCCTGCCGCCGGACCCCTCTCGGAGGAGGATGGGCCATGGAAGAGCTAGATCATGAGGTCTGGGCACCGCCGTGAAGCAGTGTCGGGACCTGTTTGTTCTTTCGACCCTAACACAACGGATCTGCGTCTCGGGTGCCACCGACTTCCAGAAATGTGGCAAATCCTTTGTGTTGTTGGACCCTGTCCCTGCGGATCTGCGTGAGGGGTGCCACCGAATTTCAGCCATCCCTAACAGCAGTAACGCACTACCGCAAAGGCTCCTCGAACCTATGCCGGAGGAGGTCGAGGAGAGAAAAGGATGGTGACTCAGATGACGATGGTGGCGCTGCGCGTGCGCACGCTCCACACCCTCCGCCGCGCGCCAGCGGGCTTTGCCGCCACCTCCCCAGACCCCCGACGTCATGATTTTTTCATGACGTCGACCCCCAGCGGTCTGGACCCATTCCCCAGGACCGGTTTTTCATCCTGAGTCGTTTTTTGACGGTCCCGAGGGCCGGTAAGGGCCCCCAGAGGCCGAAAATCATGAAGAACCTCCCGTCGTGATTTTTTCATGACTCGAGGGGGTCTGGGTTTGCCGCCACCTCCTGGGCGCGCCTGGCAGCAGTCGCTGCCGGCGCACCCCCTGCTGTGGTCCGGGGGCGCATGGGCAGCCTGCGGCGGCCGGCCGCCGGCCTCCCCGGGGCTTTCCTCGCGTGCCGGCGCCTGCGCGACACCCGCGCGCTTCGCGGCCAGGTCCTCCTCCTCCTCCTCCTCTTCCCCTCCTCCTCCTCCTCCTCCTCCTCCCCCTCCTCCCCCTCCTCCTCCTCCTCCTCCTCCTCCTCCTCCTCTCCTCCTCCTCCTCCTTCTCCTCCTCCTCCTCCTCTCCTCCTCCTCCTCCCCTCCCCCTCCTCCCCCTCCTCCTCGGCGTGCACTGTGTGCGCCGCCGGCCGCACCTCCGCCTGCACCGCCGTCCCCCTCACGACGGCACTGCACCTGCGAGTTCTGCGTCGGGCCTGCCGTGGGAGAGCCCGCGGGCCTGGCCGGCTGCGGGCTCCAGCGCGGCGCCAGCTGCCCTCGGGCGCCCAGCCGCCGCCGCCCCAGCGCCCCGCCGCCCGCGGGCGCACCGCTGCCCGCGGGCGCTTGAAGCGCCGCGCCCCGCGCAGAGCGCCGGCGCGGGCTCCGCACGCCAGGCCGAGGCCGGCGGCGGAGGCCTCTCTCCATCTCTCTCGCTCGCCAGGCCCTTGTCCGGCGGCGTTGCCGGTCAGCCGCGATGCGGCTTGGCTGCCACCTCCCGCATGACCTCATCTCCGCGCTGGAAACACTGGTTCTTGTGGAGGTAGCGGGTGCCGTTGCAGTGCACCGGCCCCTGGACCCCCGCGTCGCAGCATATCTTCTTGGGCTTCTTGGGCGGCCTCCGATCATCCTCCACCACTCCCTCCGGCATTCCGCGCGAGCCCTGTGGCCGGCGGTCCTGCCCCGGGTTGTACCAGCAGTGCCAGGCCGTTGCCAAAGCCGTGGCCAGCACCACCACCAAGGAGACGATGAGCTTCACCATGACCTCCATGGGGATCGTGATGGTGACGTCCCCCTATCTTCAGTCAGGCGCACGCTGACGTGCCCCTGGTCCTCCTTCACCGTCGCCAACTCCTGGCCGGTCGCCGCCGCCTGCCCCAGCGTGGCCGCAGCCGCGGCTGCGGCTCCAAGAACCGGAAAACCTCCTGGGGGGGAACTCGCCTGGCGCTGCCGCCAGCGGCACCCTCCTGAGGCTTCGCCGCGGGTGTCGTCAGCTCCGAGCGGTCGTTGGCCACGCGCCTAGCTACATCGCGCTGCGGCTCGTGTGACTCCCAGAGGTAGGCCTGGAACGAGTCCGACGCCCATCTCCCGCACCTCTGGACCTTGGAGAGATCGTCCGTGACATGGTACATCGCCGTGGCCCCGCCGATCCTCAGGGAGTGGGAGCCGATCTCCTCTCGCCTGAGGCCTGCTGCTAGGCCTGCCAGCGTGAGAAAGTGCTGCGCCTCCTCGCGCTTCACCGGGGCGCCCGAAGCCCACCGGAAGACGGGCAGCCGCGCCTCCGTGCCGCGGTCGAAGCGCCGCGGGTGCTGCGCCTGCATGGCCGCCAGGGCCTCGAAAGGCCACAGCGCTGAGTGAGTGGCGTAGTGGTTGCGCACCATCCCCACGTTGTACTGGTCCGTCTTCGAGCCCTTGATGTGCAGGACGCACTCGCCTGCTCGGGCGAACTGGCCGGTGCGTTCGCCCTCGGACTTCGCCTCTACGTCCTCGCTGTGGACCACCCTTTCGACGGACCAGTACTTGTCCGTCACCAGGTACTCCGACGCACGCAGGAGGAAGAAAGCGATGAGGATCGCGGCGCACAGCGTGGCGGCGTCGGCTGGACTGAGGCCCGCGTCTTGGTGGATGTGTTGCTTCAGCCACAGCAGCATCCGCGGGGTGACCGGCCTCTTGCGCCTGCTGCTGGGGCCCTGGGGCCTTTTCTGGCCGGCTAGGGTCGTCCACGGCCGCCCGCGGTGCAGGAGCGGGTCGCCGTGCCCGACGATCAGGTGGGCGTACCCGATGGCGAACAGCTTCTGATTCACCGCCCCTTCGGTGCGCGACGGCACCGCCGCCAGGCTGATCGCGAAGTCGATCAGGGCGTCCTCGTCGCTGGTCCACTCGGCTCGGCCCCGGCCCAGGAGCCACAGTTCGCGCCCCTGTGCGGCGCGGTAGGCGGTCCACTGCCGCCAGCCGCCCTCGCACCCGCTGCGAGTGCCCTCGCTGAGCTTCTGGGGCATCACCTCGGTCCTTTGGTCGCGGTGCCATTCTCTGCAGCGCTCCCCCCCCGCCGCGGGGTGGGCGGGCGGCGGCGGCAGGTTCTCGCGCGCCTGCCCCAGGGCCAGCGGCTGGACCAGGTCGGGCGCCGCTGCAGCCACTACGGGCCAACCTCGGGCGCGCGCCTCGGGGGCGCGCGGGCGGGCCAGGGTCGCTCGCGTCCAGCTTGAGCTCGCCAGCGGCTGGTGGAGCGTCCGGGCCGAGGATGGTGTCCTCGTTGATCTGATTGAACCGGATTACCTGGCTCTTGCGTCGCCTATGGCGCAGGACTTCCGCCGCCGGGTTGTCCGGGGCGTTGGCCCAGGCGCGGCCGCTTGCTCCTCCGGGTCGTGGCAGACCCCGACTTTCTCAGTGCCCTCGTCCAGCGCTTGCGCGACCGCCCTGAGCATCGTCTGTGCGGACTCTGGTGGTAAGGCCCGCGCCGCCGCACGAAGCAGCTCATGGGCGGCGGCCCCCATCGGCCAGGTGCTTGCCCCATGCTGCGTCGCTGCCGCCCTGGACGCACCAGACCAGGAACACTTCCAACTCCCCAGCCTTCTTGATGGCCGCCAGTGCGCCCAGCTGCGCGATCTGGCCGTCGCCCCTCTGGATGAGCCCTTCTTGGATCGCGTGCAGGAGCTGCTTGTGGTCCTGGTGCTGCTGCGCCTGGCCTGCCTGCAGCGCCTGGGCATGCGCCTGCATAGCTGCTGCGTCGCTGGCGGCACCCGCGGCCCCGTGTCGGTCGGGCTGCCCTGGGATCTGAACCAGGCCCGTGTCCGCGTAGCTGCCCCGATTGACAAAGAGGCCGGCGACGCCCGTGACGCTCGGGAGTCAGCCTGGGACGGAGCTTGTCACGCCGAACCTCAGACCCGTAGGTGAGACAAGGCCAGGCGGTCGATCCGCTGGCGGCGTCTGCACACTCGGGGAGGGTGCGTCTGCCACCGGGGCCGCGTCAGCAGACGCTGCGTCGGCGGCCTTCGGGGCCGGCGGCTGCGCCTCGAGTTGCAGCTGCCCCGCCGCGGCCGGTCGAGGAGGAGTCGCTCTGGCCTGCCGGGTCCCAGCGGCGCGCGTCTGGGCCAGCTGGCCCCTCCAGCGATCCGCGCGCATGAAGTGCACGCGCTTGTCGGCCTCCGCCTCGGCGTAGTTGGCCAGGTGGTCCGCGTAGTTAGCGAGGCGCTCGACCACGGCGCTGGTCTCCTCGTCGAATCCCGAGGCGACGCACTGCAGAGCGTCGGCTTCGTCGGACCCGCTGCCCCTGGCCTCGAGGTAGACGCTGAGCATGGCCCCCCCCTGATCTAGGTCGTCGGCGTCGGACTCGCGGCCCTGCCCGTCGTCCCTCTCGCGTGATGGACGTCGATCCGAGCGCGGGGGCGTCCGCGATGGAGGCCTCCCGCTGCTGCTGCCCCGACTCCCCCTGGATGGGGCTCGTGGCGACCCGCTGCGGTCCAGTCGCCTCCAATGATCGTCCAGGCCCTTCATCGTGGCGTCGAGTTCGCTCCTCTCCCCGATTGGCATATCTCCTGTGGCTGAGGCGGATCCCGCTGGATGCCAGCTGATGATGGTGCTGCCGCGAGTTCGAATGAGCTGCCACTGCCAAGTTTTGAGAGAGCGATGCCTGCCCCCGGCAGCTTGCCTTGCCAAGGTTGCAGCTTCCCCCGCGCGAGTTTGGGCAGCGCAGATCCCACCACGGCAATTCCCATCTCGCGGGCGCCGGCCGGCCTGCACCTCGCCCAGCTTCAGGGTGAAGTCGAGGCTGGTTTCATCGGGGCCGTGAGTGACTCCAGTCCAGAGCGCCTCATCCATCCTCTCGTTGCCTTCGCGGCGCTGGCAGAGGAAGATGATCCACTGGGCGCCGCTCGCCCAGTTCACGCGAGCCCTGATGAGGAGGCGCGGCAGGCCCCCCCAGCTCAGGTCGTCAGGGTCGACGCCCTCGGGGCTCGGAGCCGGCGTGGGCACCGTCGGCGACTCGAAGCGCACCGACTGGAGGCCTCCCGCTGGGGCGGGCGAGCCACGCCTGGGGGGGGTGTTGCAGCCGCTGATCTGCAAGACTGCTGGGACGTTGGCCCCTGGGCCCCTCCCGCCCCGCGCAGCCCGCCGCCGAACCCAGACCCCCTCGAGTCATGAAAAAATCACGACGGGAGGTTTTGCAGTATTTTTGGACCCTGGGGGCCCTTACCGACCCTCGGGACCGTCAAAAAACGACTCAGGACGAAAAACCGGTCCTGGGGAATGGGTCCAGACCTCTGGGGGTCGACGTCATGAAAAAATCATGACGTCGGGGGTCTGGGAATGCCGGCGAACACTCCTGCGGGGAGCGTTGCGTCTGAAGCCGAGCGCCTTGCTGCCCGTCCGGCCTCTCCGCCAAGATGGGCGAGACAGAGAGGGGCTCCTGCCGAGGGTCCGACCGCCCGGTGGAAGCAGGCGACGATCGATCACTTGTCGCCGAGCCGGGTGGCTTTGTAGAGCTGCTTGTGATGCTCGCAGAGGCAGACCGTGGCGTTCTTGCCGTCGGCTGGTTGTGGCAGGTCTGAGGCCTGCCCGTCCTCCCAGAGCAACGCCACGGGGGTCGCGCCGGCTGCGTCACGACAGCCGCCCAGGGCCAGGGGCCTCATCGCGCCCTTGACGAGGGCGCCTAATTACCTTGACGGCTTTGCAGGGGCGCTCCGCAATCTCGACCTCGGATTCGGACTCCTGGTCTAAGAGCTCTGCCACTCCCCCAGCTACGCCTGGCTCCGCAGCGCTTGCCGATTCACGGCGGCGGCGTCGCCGGCGGCTGCAGCGTCCGCAGCAGCAGGCTATGTAGAAGAGGTCATCAGGCTCGCGGCGAATAGGCGAGCTCCGCTGGCGAGGGCCCGCCCCGTGAGGACGCAGAACCGGCAGGGAGTCAGCCGAGCGCGGGCGCCGATGTCGACGATGGCCGCGGAGTCGAGAGCCGCGTACTCCACGCGGTGGATGTCCTTCTCGTCCTTGGGCTGGCAGTCTCAGCGCCGGCGCAGGTGCGCCCACTGGCCCTGCTCGAGCTTCTGCCGGAGGACTCTGATACTCGCTCCCTTGATCTTGTTGTGCTGGACCCAGAGCCCCTTCTTGCCGACGCGCCCTGGCTTGTCGAACACCAGCCCGATCCGTGCCGCGTGCCCGTCGAGCTTCACGGGGAGGTCGTTGGGCTTCCTGCCGGTCCCGCGGGCGCGGACAGTCCTCTGGTAGATTCGGTAGTCCCCAAACGTGGTGGTGACAACGCCTGGCGGTGAGTCTCGGGCGATTTGGCGTCACCACCCGGTTTGGGGACTCGTGCGGTTTTCCGAGGATGTCCCCAACACTGGTGGGGCCAGGAGTCACAAAACCCGGTGGTGACCCCGTGCCCCCAAACCCAGCGGTGACCTTTTTGGGGATTCCAGGTCGCCACTTGGTATCTCACCACCCGGTTTGGGGGTTCCCAATAGACGGAGGTCGTCGTGCTGGGGCCCGTCGCAGGGCGGGCCCAGACGGCCGCGACGGGCAGCGGCGGCGCCGTCGGCAGAAGGCGGCCCACCTCGGCTTCGCCCGACGGCTTCCGCGCGCAGCAGCAGCACGCGCGGCAGAAGCCGGCGGCTGCGCCAATGGCCCAGCAGACCCACGCGCACGGCGCGAAGATGGTCCGCAGGCTGTGCGCCGCCAGGGCGGGGATGCCGGCGCAGCACAGGGCGATGAGGGTCCAGCCGACGATGGGCCAGGCGGCGCCGAACAAGCGCACGCCGCAGCTTTCGGTCAGGTGCAGGACCCAGCCGCCGTCGGAGCGCAGCCAGCCAGAATCCTGTTGGGTTGAGAAGGCGCCGTTGTGGTTCTCAAAAGAGCGTGCCCAACCCCCCATCCCCTCGGCCTTCCAGGACCAGGTGTGGTTCCCTAGGTTCTCCCAGCGCTGAGATAGCCCAGGCCCCACCCCCCAATCCAGGAGGTGTCTGAAGTGCCGTTCGGGGTGGGGGGTTGGGTGGCGTCCTTCCCTGGCGGAGCGGCCGGCGGCTCGGGTGGCACGCCGGGCGGGGCGAACCCCGCCGGCGGCAACCCTTGCTCGCCTGGTCCTGGGCCCTCGGGGCCCCCTATCATCGGGTTCCCGTGGTGCCCCTTCCGCAGCCGCGGGGGTCGGCGTCGTCATCGCAGTACGCCGTCCCGTTGTCCCAGGGCGCCTGCGGGGTGGGCCAGCCCGCGGCCGTGGCCAGCAACGCGGCGGCCCGCAGCAGCGCGCGGCAGGGGGTCCCCGGCGCCGCGCGGTGCCGATCTCCTCCCCGCGCACGCCGCGCCACGGCCGGCAGCGGCAGCCCAGCCGCCCTCCAGCCGCGGGGCGCCCCGCGCAGCGGCATGGCGTGACCGCGCGTGGACTCTCCCGGATCGCCGGGATCTTCCGGGCTCCCGGAGTGGGCCTCCGGGACGCCCTGGTCTCTGGGCCACCTGAGACCGGCCCCCAGCTTGGCCCAGAAGGGCTAGAGCCCCAGAGGGGGAAGCGAGAGAGGAGCAGGCAGAGGCAGGAGCAAGGACAAGAGGAAAACGGGCCCCCGCATTCCTGGGGTCAGGGAGAGCCTCGCGTTTAGACGAAACATCTAAGACAAGTTACACATTCCCTATGTTTTTGGACCCTGACCCCGCCGATCTGCGTGAAGGATGCCACCGGATTTCAAAAATGTGGCAAATCTCATGTGTTTTTGCACCCTGACCCCGCCGATCTGCATGAGGAGTGCCGCCGGATGTCAGAAATGTGGCAAATCCCATATGTTTTCGGACCCTGCCCCCGCCGATCTGCTTGAGGGGTGCTACCGAATTTTAGGAATGTGGCAAATCCCTTGTGTTTTTGGACCCTGACCCTGCGGATCTCCGTGAGCGGTGCCACCGGATTTTAGAAATGTGGCAAAATCCCATATGTTTTTGCACGCTGACCCCGAAGATCTGCGCGAGGGGTGCCGCCGAATTTAGAAATGCGGCAAGTCTCATATGTTTTTGGATCCTGACCCCGCCGATCTGCCCGAGGGGGGCCGCCGACTTTCAATTTTTTAAAAAGATGCAAATATCATATGTTTTTGGACCCTGACCCCGCCGATCTGCGTGAGGGGTGCCACCGAATTTCAGACATGTGACACTTCCCATGTGTTTTTGCACCCTGACCCCGCCGATCTGCTTGAGGGGTGCCACCGAATTTCAAACATGTTGCAAATCCCATATGTGTTTGGACCCTGACTCTGGCGATCTGCGTGAGGGGTTCCAGCAAATTTAGGAATGTAGCAAATCCCATTTGTTTTTGGACCATGACCCCGCCTATCTGTTTAAGGGGCGCCACTGAATTTCAGAAATGTGGCAAATCTCATGTGTTTTTGGACCCTGACCCCGCCGATCTGAGCGAGGGGTGCCACCGAATGTCAGAAATGTAGCAAATCCCTTGTGTTTTGGACCCTGACCCCGCCGATCTGCATGAGGGGTGTCACCGAATGTCAAAAAAGTTTGAAATCTTTTGTGTTTTTGAACCCTGACCTTACGGATCTGCGTGAGGGGCGCCACCGAATGTCAGAAATGTGGCAAGTCCCATGTGTTTTGCACCCTGACCCCGCCAATCTGCGCGAGGGGTGCAGCCGAATTTCAAAAAAAAAAAACATCAAATCTCATATGTTTTTTGGACCCTGACCCCGCCGATTTGCGTGAGGGGTGCCACCGAATGTTAGAAATGTGGCAAACCCCATGTGTTCTTGGACCCTGACCCCGCCGATCTGCGTGAGGGTGTGTCAATATTTTACCCACCCCAGCAATTCAGACAATACGTTTTGGCAGTGGTAGAAATGCCCGTTTTGGGCCTCCCCCCCTCGCGCGGTCCACCAACAAGGAACAGTAAGTAGCAAGAAGTCAACAAGGAACAAGCAGCAAGAAACAGAACTGTAACAGTGGAAACTGGAAGCTGCAACTGGGACATGAAACTGTAAACCTTAGCCCTACTGCCTTGTGGCCCCACCAAGGGGCCAGCGGATATGTCTCGTGTGGTGTGGTTGGTTCCCAGGCGCGCCATTTTTCAGAGGCCACGGCCTCGGTCACCGTGTCCCGGAGTGTCAGGGACCGGCTTGTCATTTGTGGATGCGGCTACCTAAAGCGAACATGTCGTTTGCACAGAAAAGCCAGTCTTTTATGTTTCACCTTCCTGTCTCCTTCTAGGCCTCCCAGATGGGGGCGGAGTAGATGGGCCGGAAAATCGCGCCGCATCGTCGATGCATCAGCGATGCATCGGCGATGCGGCTCGATGCGGAGCCCGATCTTCCTCACGCCGACGTCGCGGATGCGTCGCCGACGTCGCCGCAGCATCGCCGATGCATCAGCGATGCATTGGCGATGCGGCGCGACCCTTCGACCCCATCTGCTCGGACCCCATCGAGGAGGATTCTTCTCCTGGTGTCCTCTCCGCTCTTGTTGATGGGCGTGTTTTCCACCACCACCACCGTGTGTTGGAAGGGGGGGGGTTCTTCTCCTCCTCCTCCTCCTCCTCCTCCTCCTCCTCCTCCTCACTTATGGTGGTGGTGGTGGAAAACAGGCTCATCACTTGTTGCCGACTGCTACGCGCCTGGGAGCTTTCCCTGCGTGCCTAGCTCGGCGTGCCGCCCGCGCTCGGGCGTGTCAGGCCGTGGGGTCGGCATGCAGATATGAGCTCTGCTTGCGAACGGCTCCGCTTGCTCGCAGCCGATGGAACTCAGAGGCGGAAACGGCACCTATACCTATACGACCACCCTTCGGGTGATGAGGAGGTTCGGGTGGGGGGGGAACCAACGTCTCACTCGATCGGTCTCACCATCGACATCACCATCGATCTCACTTTCGGTCTCGCTCGATCGATCTCACTGGATCGATCTCACTCGATCTATTTCATTCGATCGATCTCACAATCGATCTGACTATCGATCTCACAATCGATCTCACTATCGATCTCACTATCGATCTCACAATCGATCTCACATTCGGTCTCTCTATCGATCTCACTATCGATATCACAATCGATCTCAAAATCAACGTCATCAACGTCATCAACATCATCATCATCATCATCATCATCATCATCATCATCATCATCATCATCATCATCATCATCGGGACCCCATCATCATCATCATCATCACCTCATCATCATCAACATCATCAGCACCATCATCATCGGGACACCATCATCGTTACCATCATCATCAACATCAGCATCGGGACACCATCATCATCATCGGGACATCATCATCATCCTCGGCATCATCTCATCTTCATCATGAAGAGCATCATCACAATCATCATCATCGGGACACCATCATCATCAGCAGCAACATCATCATCATCATCATCAACATAATCGTAATCATCGGGACACCATCATCATCATCATCACCATCAGCATCATCAGCATCACCATCATCGGGACACCATCATCATCACCATCATTGGGCCGCCATTATCAACATCATCACCATCACCTCATCATCATCCTTATCATCAAGATCATCAACATCATCATCATCGGGACACCATCATCGTCATCATCATCATCCTCATCACAATTATCACAATCATCATCATCATCATCATCACCATCATCATCATCATCATCGGAACACCATCATCATCGTCACCATCACCATCACCCTCACCATCATCATCATCATCATCATCATCATCATCATCGGGACACCATCATCATCTTCAACATCGTCATCATCATTATCATCATCATCATCATCATCATCATCGGGACACCATCATCATCATCACCATCACCATCACCATCATCATCATCATCATCATCATCGTCATCATCATCAATCTCATCGACATCATCATCATCATCATCATCATCATCATCATCATCATCATCATCATCATCATCATCATCATCGGGACACCGACGGGACACCGGCGGGAAACCGGCGGGACACCGCGGTCCACCGGCCCCCGGAAAGGAATCATTATTTGGTCCGGCCGCGCCTCAGCCGGAGGCGGGACACCGGCGGGACACCGCGGGCCACCGGCCCCCGGAAAGGAATCATTTGGTCCGGCCGCGCCTCAGCCGGAGGAGACTTACGCAGCTTCGCCTCGCCCGCACGCACGGCACGCACGAACACGAAACCGAAACCGATTTCCCGGTAGGGGGGCTCTCCGTTCTTTTTCGATCTCACCCCCTCACCTCCGACCGCTGCCCTTCGCCCGTTTTTCCCCCTTTCTGGGCCTCCTCTGTCTTCGCCACCGTCGGGTTCGCCTCGAGGTGCTGGTCCGAACGCGCCCCGGGAGGTCCGGGGAGTACACCTTAGGCGATGCTTAAGAAAACCCAAGTTTTCGGCCAGAGTCTCGATTATTCTTAACGTTTCAATGTAAATCCTAAGATTTAAATAAACTGTTGGGTTTTTATTCAAGTTCTGAGGCTATGAATTTCTTAACCCATGATTTCTTAAGCATTTCGCAGGGTGTAGCGGTATGGATACTTGTTGGAGCTTCCAGGAGCTACAGCTTGCCGCTGCCGCAATCTTTTCGTTCTCGGCCGCCGGCCCGCCGGGTGCAGACGTGGGCCTGTCGAGGGGCCCTTTGCGTGGACGGCCCGTGTGAGCGACGTGTCGAAACTGGAGGGGGAGCTTCGGATGCAACTCCTGGGAGGTCAAATTCTGATCTTGCCCTGGTCCGAAATCCGGCTTAATCCCGCTTAATCCCGCTTAATCTGGCTTAATCCCGCTTAATCCGGTTTAATCCCGCTTACTCCGAGGCCCACTCCGGCGTAATAGCCCCCAAATGGGGCTTGATCCTCCTTAATCTTTCCGACGAAAACCTCCCAGCAGTTGCCTCCTAAGGGAGCGCATGCAGCTGCTCAACTGGGGCTGTGTGATCAGCCCCGCGACTCATGCCTGAACCCCCCGCAACCCCCTGGCCGGATTTCCTTTCTTCCTTCCGCGGGGGGTCAACCTTCGCGGCGGCCCGTTGAACCCACGCACGCGCACGCGCACGCGCATCGCACGCACGCACGCACGCACGGCACACACACTGCACACGCACACGCACACGCACACGCCCCCCCCCCCACCACACACACACACACACACACGCACGCACGCACGCACGCACGCACGCACGCACGCACGCACGCACACACACACACACACACGCACACACAACAAGCACAAGCACAAGCACAAGCACAAGCACAAGCACAAGCACAAGCACAAACACAAACACAAACACAAACACAAACACAAACACAAACACAAACACAAACACACACACGCACGCACGCACGCACGCGCGCATACACACACACACACTTAATCGTTGACCTCCAGGAAGATTTGGGGAAGTATTGGAAGTGGGGGGACATCGGCAACCCAGAAAGCATGGAAAACGATAGGGAATCTTGCGATGAGTGTGCATTTCTTTGTTTGTGTTTCTGTGCCTGGGCCCCTTCAAGGTGGCCCCGACCCTACGCGGCGCACAGGGACCCGCCACCAGCGTCGCAAGGGACGCCCTGCCGGCGCCCGTGGGCCCGCGACGCTGGTCGCGACGAGGGCGCGGGCGAGGCCATGGCCCCAACTCGTCCTCGTCCTCCTCCTCCTCCTCCTCCTCCTCCCCCTCCTCCTCCCCCTCCTCCTCCTCCTCCTCCCCGTCCTCCTCCCCCTCCTCCTCCCCCTCCTCCTCCTCCTCCTCCCCGTCCTCCTCCTCCTCCTCCTCCACTCAGCTGGGGCAGCTATCTTTGTGCAGCAGCATCTTGTGCTCAGACGGAATCCCACTGGTGGTGATCTGGTCAAAGGGCGTCTCATATCAGCAGTTGTGGACATCCCGGCCTGGCCTCCACTAGTGGTATATTCAGCCTACTTTCATGACAGTGTCGGCTTCAACGAGGCCAACATGAACCTGCTCTCTGTGCTTGGTGGCTCGATCTCTCGCTCAACTGGTTCCTTCTTGGCAGGTGCTGACTGGAATGTTGAGCCGTCTACCATCGAGCAGAGTGGGTTTACTCGTAAGGCAGACTTAAACACACTTGCTCCAGTTCGCAGTACTTGCATCATGTCATCATCGTCCAGTCCCATTGACTTCTTCTTGGCATCCCATGATATTGTTCGAGCAACCGACAAGGTTCGTGTCTTTTCTCAGTGGCATGGAGGGCCGCATAAGCCAGTCCGTCTACATCTCCGACCTGATGCGGTCTCGCTAAGGCAACTGGTTTTCTGTGCACATATCCGTTTTCCTGTGCTACCCCCTTTCGGTCCTCGTCCTGAGCCCCGCAGCTATATAGCAGCGAGGCAGATGGCGGATGAGGCGGCATATTCGGCGGAGTTCGATCCAGTTTCTAAGGCATGGGCACGACTCAACCAAGCTTGGACAGCTTTCTTGCAGGATGCCGAGTTGGAGATTGCATCAGCTTTAGATTTCCCGATAAAGAAGTTGACGCGCCACCACTACCTCACTCGCAGATGGGTTCCTGTCTTGGGCCGCAAAGATCATGCTCAAGATCCTGTACTTGTTGTGCGCGGCTGGCAGTGGTTATATCGAGTTTGGCATGAGTTTGAGATAATGGCTAAGAGTGGCAAGGAGCTTAACAATGACCCAGCGGCAACTTCACTCAAACTCACGGCACCTGTTGAGAATTACCCTGGCGAAGGTCTTGATGTACGGCTGGACTCACAGGTGCCGGCACTCCTCAGCCTCATTCGAGATTACCCTGCGCCAGGTCAAGACGAGCTCTCTTGGTGGAACTTAGCCACGCAGTATGGTGAGCAGTTGGTCTTCGAGTCTGAGGCTGCAACGCAGGAGGCATCGAAGCTACGACAACGGTCCTGGAATGAATGGTGTGACCAGGCCCTGAAAGGCTCGGCTAAGCTCATGCACAAGATCACTCGTTTGCAGAAGGTGCGGTGCGCGACGGTAGTTGAGAAAGCGTCAGGCGTCTTTTCCAGCAGCCCAGAGGCGGTGCTCAACGCGGAGGTCGAGGCGCTCCAGCAGCAGCGGAATGCTTCCTTCATGCCACCGCGTGCACGCGTGTCTGATCGCGATTGCCTTCCTCGTGCCACTGCTGAGGAGATCAGAAGTGCATCGCGGAAGTTCTGCCAGTTCACTTCGTTTACGCTTGGCGGCTTCCACCCGAAGTACATGCGTTTGCTTGGCGATGCTGGATTGGAGACCCTGAGCGTCCTATTTGAAGGAGTGGGACGTCTCGGTCTCTTTCCTCGGCATTTCCTCTGGATGGTCTTCCCTCTTATTGAGAAGCCAGCAGGGGGGCGTCGTGCCATCCTGTTGCTGGCCAGCTTTGCGCGCGTATGGGAACGGCTTCGCCGACCACTGCTGGACAGATTCTTTGCCGCCACGGAGAGAGCTTACTGGGCCTTCGGTTCTGGGAAGAGCGCTGCATCCTGCGTTTGGGCCCAGTCGGCCCTTGGGGAGATAGCTGCCGCTGATGACGAGATTGTCCTGGGGGTCCAGTGGGGTGGTAAGAAATGCTATGAATGATTTCGGTTGGATCTCTTTCGGCAGCGAGCATTACGATGGGGCATACCTGGGGCCATCGCCAAAACGATGTTCAATGTGTGGCGTTCTCCGCGGCTGGTAAGGTTAGGACCCGCCTTTCATCATGTCGCTCTCTTTGCAGAAAGCGGCCTCCCTGCAGGAGACATTGGCAATGATGCTTTCGTAAAGGTGTACGCCATAGGTGCCTTCGACGACTTTACGGCTCGGTTCCCTGCTTTCTTTCGACTCTCGAGCTACATCGATGATGACACGAGAATGGCTACGGGTGATCGGGCTACGCTGCTCAAACTGGTTCCAGATGCTGCTGAAGATTTCTACCACACGTTTCGAAATCAACTCGAGGCTGACATTTCGGAAACCAAAGCTATCGCGATTTCGAGCCCCCCAGAGTTAGCTCGGGCCCTAGCTCGTCAATAACAGGGCTCTCTGCTGGTGCCATCACGCACTCGTCCGTGAATCTCGGGGTCGACTTTTTCGCCAGCTCAGATCATGGCAACTAAAGGGGCTCTTCGGAAGCGTCTGGATTGGTTTCGTCAGTTTCGCCTTCGTCATTCGCGAGTTCTTCGATTTCGGAAATGGCTCTCTCATGGTAAGCACCGCATGGCGATTATTCATCAGGCTGGCCTCAAGCCAGCACTGACGCATGGCAGTTCTGTTCTCGGCATCTCAGACTACGAGTTGCAGCGAGCTCGAGCTACGCTGCTAAGTTTTCGCTCGCCCTCACATCGAGGTGGTTCCTTGCTGGCAAATATGGTGCTCCACGGCGATCCAATGGCCGACGTCTGTGTTGCTCCTGCAGTGTCCTGGTCAGTGGCAGTCTGGCAGGCCTTGGTTGCACCAGAGCGCTCTCTTTTCAGCGTCCGCGAGCTTCACAATATGTAGACCACCGTGCATGAGAGAATGGAGCCCCCACCATCGTTGGCGACACACGCGCGGACCCATATATTGAATGCTTCTCTCTCTCTCAGGCGCGCGGGTTGGCAGGCTCTCAACTTTGCACTTTGGGAGGATGATCGAGGAGTAGAAATATCGCTCATGTACACGGTCCCGAATATGATCAGAGGTATGCTGAGAGATGCAGTTCAACGTAAGCATGAGTGCGACATGGCTTCTAGCTTAGACAATTTTGAGCATGCACGCGTGTGCACTGATATCGTGCGCAATATTGTGTGTAAGTCTAAGAAGTACACGCCACGTCAGAAGTATGCTGTAGCTAGTTGTTTTTGTAAGGCGGTGTTCACATCGGATCGGCTTCAGATTGGTAGTGGACTCTGCCCGCTATGTGGAGGCCCCGACAGTGTGTTTCACAGGCTCTGGACTTGTCCCTGCCCCCAGGTTGAGGACGCCAGGTTCCAGGCTTGTGACCCTGAGCTCGTCCAGGAAGCTGTGCAGGCTGGCCCGCCCCACCCCTTCTGGACCCGCCTCGCCTCCCCTCGCCCCTCCCTCACCTTCCAACCCCCTGCAGACATGATCTATCCAGAGCTTTTAGATCCGCAGGGGAATGTAGTGCAGGACTTTGCGATTCTGGAAGGCGTGAGTGACGTCGTTGTCGATGGGTCGTGCACGAGGCCTCAGATTCGCGATCTTGCTCGAGCATCCTTTGCTGGAGTTTTCCTTCAGGCTGGCACTGAGGAGTTAGTTGCACGCTTTCGAGGGCCGGCGTGGCCTAGCCTCCCTCAGACTCCTCAGGCGGCTGAGCACATGGGAATCGTTGCGATAAGTTTTTACACTGGACAGCTGGCTCACCAGATAAACGTGTGGTCCGATTGTTTGGGCCCTGTGAGGTACCATAACATGCCAGCTGTCCAGCAAGTCTCTTCCAGAAATAAGTATGCGGGGCTTCGTAGGGGTTTTTGGGAGATAGAGGGATCGAAAAACGTCGGCCCCTGCACCCACACCCCTGCCCACCGCAGTATGGAGGCAATTGATAACCTTCCGCAAGATGAACGGAGGATCGCGAGAGCTAACTTTCTAGCGGATCGGTTTGCGAAGGAAGCTCTTGCGATGCACGCCCAGGAACCTCAAGCCTCCTGGGATGACATGAACGCCACGATTGGCAACGTCCGTGCTGTGGCTCGGGTGATGGGCTCTGTGCTGCCCCTTTTCCCGTCATCCCAGTTCCCTGAGCGTAAGAAGGTTCCTCGGCCAAGAAGTACGGGCGCGCCCCCAGCGTGCTGTGTGGTTTCAGCGCCCATCCGATGATCTTCCATGCAGCAGATTAATCCCAGGACTGGAGAGGTTGAGACAGCGGATAGCAGCACGAGAGGAGGCGGCGGGTTTTCAGGATCATGTTTTGAGGGCTTCAGAGCAGCAGCGATCTGCTCAGGAGCCCCTCCATGGGATTCAGGGACAGGCCCAGGAACCGTTTGCCCCAGAGCTTGAACTTGAGGCTGAGGAGGCCGCCAGCTTCCTCCATGGATAAACAGGTTTGAGTTTTACCCTGCGGGGCAAAAAAAACTCTTCCTCCTCCTCCTCCTCCTCTGCTTCCTCCTCCTCCTCCTCCTCCTCCCCTTTTTCTTCCTCTTCCTCCCCTTTTTCTCCTCCTCCTCCTCCTCCTCCTCCTCCTCCTACATGGCGATGTCGTTACACGCTCCGCTTGAACAATTGAAGGGGGGCTCTCTGGAGTGAGGCTCTGTACTGGCCATCGCCGCCCGTTGTCCGTGGGAGGGCGGATTGTAGCAGCAGTTGTCCCTGGTGCGTGAGCGGGAATTGCAGCAACAATAATCCCCAGTGGTAGTGCGTGGGGGGATTGTAGAGGGAGGGCTCTAGCGACAGTGGTCTTTCGTGTAGGATGGGGGGTTGTGACGAACGCGGTCCGCCGCGCATGAGGGAGGATGGTGGCAGCAAGTAGATCTCGGTCGTGAAGGGCGTGTGGCGGTCAGTGGGGGATGTAGCAAAAGTAGTCCCTTGTACATGAGGGGGGGACTGTAGCGAGTCGGCCCTCTCTGGCATGAGGGGGTTGTTTACAAAAACTTGGGATTGAAACCGATCTGGCTATTCCACACTGACAGAGGGCAACCCGATGGGTTCCACGCGCGGTGCCTCAGGGAAACGTGTTCCATTCCATATTCGCTTGTATTTCGAACTCCAAACAAAGTAGTATTGGAAATAAGTGGCGACGCGGCGCTGAGAGCCACGCTAGGAAAGCTGAATTGTA